AATTATAGTTCTGCATCATATCACACAGGTTCACTCTCTGCAGCCATAAAGAAAAGATGTAAATGAGGAAAAATCAAAAGTATATTAAAGGCAGTAACGATCAAAGTGAAACTACCATAAACAAAGAGAATCACGACGCACCTCACAGCACAAACACAGCTAACAAAGGTGCAGCAGACCTGCAGAGAATCCAAAGCATGAGAAAACATTTAGTGATGAGTTTAACTGTTCAGAAAAAACAGCTGATAAATTTGTGCTTTACCTGTTTGTCGTCCTCCGAGTTCACAGGTGAGACATGGCGCCTGCTTCTTTGTTTGGTTGCACCTCTGACGACGGTATGAAGGCGGGCTTAACGCTGCCCACCCAATCAGAAGTTAGAAACACTGCTCATGTTTTCTCTGAGCCTTCTTTTCTTCACTTTTGATTGGGTGGGAACCACCACCCACCCATACTCTGTGTGCTGGTGTTTGGGTGGGGTGAGTCTACTCGACACAAATTTATGCTCTATATTTGTATATTTATACAGATTTGTGTCGACGTTCAGAGGCTGGATCCATGCAGAACAGATGACAAAACATCTGCATCAGTGCGCCTTCATGTTTGTCATCTGGTTGCACCGATGTTCTGTACGACATCCTGATGTGTTGTCGGTCTGATGTTCGTTGTTTAAAGTTTAAAAGAATACATTTGCCCTCTGTCACTTTAATGCAGCGTGCATTGTGGTTGTGTGAGAAGCCGAGAGCATGAAAGTTAATAACTCCACAGACTACAGCTAATCTGTCAGAAAGCAAAGGAATGCAGGGCCTGTTCCAGCCTGCTGTGTTAGGAACGACGGTTACAAATAAAAGTGTGAGACAAAGATCGTCACAACAAAAATGTGAGTGTTACTGTTGCTCCTGCTTTTTCTCTTCAGCTTAACTTTTACTTACTCATTTCTTTGTCTTTTGCTTTATAGTTGGAGTGTTGAACTCTTTATATTGAATTATTTAAATTGTTTAGTCTGTTACTGTCTAGGTGCAGCTATAATCCATATAATTTCCTTTGGGATTAATAAAGTATTCTGATTCTGAAACACACAAAACAAAATCATCAAACAACACTCACACACAACCCTTGACACTCATGCCCATGGAGAGTGGATGGCAACTTCTGACCACGGTCTGTGGATATCAGCTGATACAGTGGCTGCAAAAGTATTCGACCCCCTTGAACTTTTCCACATTTTGTCACATTACAGCCACAAACATGAATCAATGTTATTGGACTTCCAGGTGAAAGACCAACACAAAGTGGTGCACACGTGAGAAGTGGAACGAAAATCAGACATGACTCCAAACATTTTTACAAATAAATAACTGCAGCTGGGTTAGCCTCACGTTAGCTCAATGCGTGCACGGCTGCAATGAACAGAACACAGTCCAGCAGCTTCACGCCGAAACTTTACGTGTCACGTCACTAACTTACCGACACAGTGACTTATCTGTCCGAGAAGTAAAAACACACTTACTGATGCTACATAAAAACAAGCTAACTTCTCCGGATGCTCCGTGTAACTCACGCAGCCCCGCCCTCTCTCCTCGCGCTCTTTTTTTTTTCTCTTTTTCCTTCTCCACCCTGTGTTACATTCACAGACCATATCCCCGTAGGAAATTACAGTTCTTCTTCTTCGGTCAAGTTTAACGGCAGCTTGCATCCAAAACTGTTGCATTACTGCCATCTCCTGGCTGTCAACCGTCCGTCACTCCTGAACCCTCAGATGCTCTTGATGAGACCAGTATTTCTCAAAAAACGAAAAACCACCACCTTCCCTTCACCACGACTTAACTTATTAACCACTTGTTCCAATGTAAGTTCTCTTCCACCACTCATTTCACCCCACATCACCCTCCTGTGACTTGCATACTTCCTACAACTAAGGAGTACATGCTCAACCGTCTCCATATCAGTGCACCCATCACACAACCCAGTCGGATGTTTCCCTATCCTAAAGAGAGTACCATTTAAAAAGCAGCGGCCCGTTCGGATTCGACTGATAACAACCTCCTGGAAATTACAGTTCTCACAAGCAAGCCACAATAAAAGAAAGATAACTTATTTTAAACAATGCAAACATGTTTTTAATCATTTGACATGAACTTTGATCTTTTTAATACACAAGAATTTTAATTTAAATAAATGAACTCTTTGATATTAATATTCTCAGACTTCACTTATCTTTTACTATTTATGCATCTTTTTAACCCGGGTTACAAATATAAAGCGCCTTGAGGTGACTTCTGTTGTGATTTGGTGCTGTGTAAATAAAATTGAATGAATTATTTTTCCTTGGTTGTGTGAAATCTGAGAAAAACATCTCTATACAAGGTCTATTAGTTTATGTTGTGAGGTTGGGTGTTGATTCTG